ATCATTTCTCCAGGGAATTAAAAAAATAAAGTTTATGGGAAAACATGAAATGTGAGGAAATATTAAATATAGTAAACTGCACAAATGTATACATAAGTTACACACTGGGCTTTTTATGATCTAAAAATCTATTCCAAGAAAAAGAAAAAATGAAATTCGAAGACTTATGAGCTTGTTCAAAAAATACTAAAAATAAGTTCCAGCTGGTGTGAGAACATGGTAAAGGTATAACATGGTACCAGGGTAAATAATAGCACAGGATGGGTGAGGCATTGGCAGAAGGAAACTTTAAATGCAGAACATTTTATACTGCTTTTTAAAGGGATTTTTACAAAAGTAAGAAAACACATATACACACATCAATAGCAGAGAAAATGTATTGAAACAATTTATCAGATGGTATATTTACACAATTTTTCAAGAGTAAGCACATGGCCAATATGGATTAATCACTAATGAATTTAATAAAGTGAACAGATTATTAGCTCCTAAAGCTAGTTATTTTAGTTTCTAATGTTTCAATGTGCCAGATGTTTCATAAAAATAGTTTTTACTATTTAAAATGATTTATGAAGCTAGAATGCCCAACTTTTATTTCTGTGTTAAAATTTAAGAGTTAAAAACCATTAACAAACAGAATTTGCAGTTCAGTTAGCAGTCACTGAATGTAAAAAGAGTTCTTAAAATGCTCTTCAGAGCCATTCTCGTTCCCATAGAAACCAATGTGAGATCCTGGAAAACAAGGTAAGTTCTAAAATAATCATCATTATAAATACCCATTATATAAATGTAAATACAGGCAATTGAAATGATTTAGATGATTTTGAAATTGCATATCATTTCCCAAACCATAATGATTCCTTCAGAGTGGTTCTTGTCTGTCATATAAATACAGCATTTACAAAATTTTAAAAATTCTTATGATTTACTTGTGAGACCATAATCGCCTTTTCAAACAAGTCTTGGGCATGCAAATATCGATTTTTGAACATGTATTTTGGTGCAAGAAGGGTATTTTGGGCTTTTCCTTTGTGGTAGATTAAGTACTTACCATTATTAGTGTTTGGATTTCATATAACCATTTCATTATTCATTATTAATTGTTCTACAATGAGATCTAGATATTCTGGAGAGTTATCTTACAATTATAATTTTTACATTTTATTTATGCAAGTATTTTGTCATATTAAAAGAGCCAAGAACTCTTCTTTTATTGGGACTGTAATTCTTCTGAAAGTCCAGGACTAATCACTGAGTATAGAGCCCTCATAATATTAACAAAGATGTAAGTGTACGTTGTTCACAGATGTATATGCCTCTAAGAGATAAGCCTCCTAATGTTTAAGGAGCAAGAGCAGTTCAGGGGTAAAGTTCCAATAGCAAGAAACAAGTAATTTAGTATGGTTGTTGAAGGACTTCTGGACATGCCACCCCAAAACATGTCACTTTGGTATAGTGATTATTTTGAAGTAAAGGCAGATACAGGAGGAGGCTTTCTCTGAACTTTCCTTTTCTGCCTAAAAGACAGAGCCTTCAAAAGGAATTCAATTGTCATAAATCCCCTTCCTGGGACTGACTCCTACCACTAGGAGGAAACTAGAAGTCAACTCAACACCCACACAACCTTTGTCACAAATTATCATATCTCCTATCTATTCTTCTAACAGCCCATTCATCTTTCCTAAAAATAATTTACTCTCCCCTAAGTTGCCTATATCCCCTCCTTCCTCTGTTAAAGATGGCATATAAGCTCTCAAATCTCACCACTTTTTTGGGTGTTCACTTTTTTTTTCCTGTGATGCCCTGGTGTGCATAATATTAAAAATTAATAAGTTTGTTTGCCTTTGCTCCTGTTAATCTGCCTGTTGTCAATTTATTTTATAGACCCAGTTATTGAACCTAGGAGAACAAAGGGAAAGTCTTTTCTCCCCTACACTGTTAAAGGAGCCACAGGTTATAGACTAGTCATGCAGTATTGTTAGCTGGATCAATGATCAGAAAGTCAGGTATTTTCTCTTCCATTTCATCTAAACCCTTGCTTCTTAAAATCTAGTCCCCAGACCAGCAAAATGAAAGCCTGGTAAAGATGTAGAATTTCAGGCCCTAGGTAGACCAGCTGATTCAGAAACTGCATTTTAACAAGATCACCAGGGAAAAATGAACATTAAAGTTTAGAAACACAGTCTCAAATATTTGCTTCAAACAAATTTTAGCTTTATTCCAGGTGAACTGATGGAAGCTAAAAAGCCTAAGAGGATGTAAACTCTAAGAGGGGTCTATGTCTGCAAGTGGCATCTGCACATCATGTAGTTTAGAGCAAAATCCATAAACAATGTTAAATCATTTTGACAAAAGAGAATGAAACATATCCCTTTATTTCAAAAATGACGTATTTCAAGTTTTATGTTTTTAAAAGAAAATGTTCTTGGGTGCCTGGGTGGCTCAGTTGGTTAAGCGACTGCCTTCGGCTCAGGTCATGATCTTGGAGTCCCTGGATCGAGTCCCGCATCGGGCTCCCTGCTCGGCAGGGAGCCTGCTTCTGCCTCTGACCCTCCCCCCTCTCATGTGCTTGCTCTCTCTCATTCTCTCTGTCTCAAATAAATAAATAAAATCTTTAAAAAAAAAAAAAAAGAAAGAAAATGTTCTTATATTTCATTTTGTTTTTCCCACTCCCCCAAACCAAACCATTAAACATACATCACATACAAAAATCAACTCAAAGTGGATGAAAGATTTGAACGTAGACCCGAAGTTATAAAACTCCTGAAAGAAAACATAGGCAAGAGCTTCATGACATTGGTTTAGGCAGTAATTTCTTGATATGACACCAAAAGCACAAGCCATAAAAGCAAAAATAGACAAGTGGGACTACATCAAACTAAAAAATTCTGCATAATAAATTAAATAATCCACAGAGGCAACTTACAGAATGGGAGAAAATATGTGCAAACTATATGTAACTAATAAGGGGTTAATCTCCAAAATATATATGGAACTCCTTACAATTCAATAGCAAAAAACCAAATAACCCAATTAAAAAAATGGGCAAAGGGGGTCTTCTGGGGGCAGCTCAGTCAGTTAAGCCTCTGACTCTTGATTTTGGCTCAGGTCATGATCTGAGGATCATGAGATTGAGTCCCCCACTGAGCTCTGCACTGGGTGTGGAGCCTGCTTAAGATTCTTTCCCTGCCTTTGCCCCTCCCTCCACCTCATGCATGCACCTGCACTCTCTCTCTCTCTCAAAAAAGAAAAAAAAATGGGCAAAGGACTTAAATAGACATTTCTCTAAAGAAAACATACAAATGACCAGTAGGTATATGAAAAGATACCCAACATCATGAATCATCAAGGAAATGCAAATAAAAACCACAATGAAATATCACCACCTCACATCTATTTGTCAGGGTGGCAATAATAATAATAATAATAATAATAACAACAACAACAATAATAAAAGGGTAACATGTATTGACAAGGATGTGGGGAAACTAAAACCCTTATGCACTGTTTTGGGGAATGTAAAAATGATGCAAGCACTATAGAAAACAGTATGAAGATTTTCCCCAAAATTACAAATAGAACTAGTATATGATCCAGCAATTCCACTTCTGGGAATTTATTCAAAAGAACTGAAATCAAAATCTCAAGAAAATATCTGCACTCCCATGTTTTTTGCAGCACTGTTCACAATAGCCAAGACACAGAAACAACCTAAATTCCCAGTGACAAATGAAGGGATGGAATATTACTCAGCCTTAAAAAAGAAGGAAATTCTGCCATATTCAACACGGACGAACCTGGAGGACCTTATGATAAATAAAATAAGCCAGCCACAGAAGGACAAATATTGCATGATTCCACTTACATGAGGTGTCTATAATAGTCAAACTCATAAAAAGAGAGAATAAAATGGTGATTGCCAGGGTTTGGAAGAAGAGGGAAATGGGGAATTCCTGTTCAATAGGTATAAAGTTTCAGTTATACAAAATGAGTAAGTTCTAGAGAGCTGCTGTACAGCATCATGCCTATAGTTAATAATACTGTATTGTGCATTCAAAAATGTAAGAGGGTAGATATATTAAGTGCTCTTACCACAATAAATTAAAAAAAATAGATCATAGCAGGGTTTGGAGCTAGCTGCAGGTGTTCAGAGTCTGACCTCACAGTTATAGTCCACTTTTTTAAAGACCTTCAAGATCTGTTTTAGGGGAAAGTGAATAAATTTTAAAGGCCCAGAAAGAATGAAAATGTGAACATGGAGCTATGGACTTATATGAAATAAAAGATGTTCTATAAAAGTTATCCCAAAGTCTACTTTCTAAATTTCATCCTTTCTACATTTCCTGCTTTATTTCCATATGCTGCAAATTGCATATGGTTTAGTTTGCCCCACCCTTTCAAATTTCCATTTTCTCCTAACAGTTACACCTGCATTTATCACAAATATATGTGAAATTTTGATGATGGTGTTGGTTAACTGCCTAAATGTTGTGACCTGGTGGGGAGAGGAGGGTCCTGAAGGTCTGCTTTACAGATTTAATTTCATCTAGGACCTGTCCTTTGGAGACTCAGAAAGAAGCTCCAGCAAATAGTTGTGTTCTGGAGGTTAGAAAGGTCAGATAAAAAGATAGGGCACAGCAAAAGTTCAGTACTTCTTGATGACAAGCATGTAAGCTGTTGGAATTAAATTTTTCTTCTAACCTCGAGGAGTTTTATGAATTGCTAGAGGGTAGAAATCAACATTATCATTCTCCTTTTTACTTCAAACTATTATTATTTATTGCCTGTTCACCATATGCCAGGCATCCTTCTGAGTGTGTTTCATACGAAATAGTTCATTTAATCCTTTCAACAACCTTATGGAGAAGGTAACGGATTACTCCCATTTCAAAGATGAGTAAACTGAGGACCAAGAGGGAAAGTAATTTTCTAGGGCCCCACACGTGGTAAGAGCCTGAGTTAAGTAGAGTGATTCTGGCACCAAAGTTTTTTTTACATACCCTGAAAGGACATCCTAGAGACTTGATGTGTAGACCTGTCTCCTCAGTTCTTCATGGTTGGCTAATTAGCTGTAACTTCCTGAGGTCAAAATGAAGGTGACTTTGAAATCAGTCCTTCCTCCAGATATCAGGCATTTAGCAGTCCCTCACCATTTCTTCCTGGTTAGAGATAGATATAGGAAGGTCAATCTTGTAGAATCCATTCTGCCTAGTTAGTGAATGGTCACTCTACAGCAAACTTCAAGATTCAGGTATTTGTGGTATAACTAAAACTATATAAATCCCAAATGTGACTTTAGGGAAAAAAAAGATTTGCTAGAGACAAACTGAATCATCTACTATAAAATCTGCTGCTAGCTTGATTTCTTGTGTAGTTAAATATAATCAACCAATTACAGATTTCATATGTAGATAAAGGCATAGTTTTGACTGCAGTGCTTCTCTCTAATGTTGTAGAGGGTTTCCTAGCCATACACAGCTAAGTCAATTTTAAGATTCGATTTTCTTCTTCATTCTACCTCTTTGCCCTCTATACTTCTGTCTGCATTTATGTGTTTCTGCCATTTTCCTACATGTGCACATGTTCAGTAGTGTTAGAAAGAAATGATTCCAGGGGTTCTTATGTCAACTGTCTGCCTCTCTACACATTGAGATGGTTTTTTTCTTATTCCTTAAAAAGCCCTTAGGATACAATAGCTCCACCACTTCTTAGCACTGTGACTTCGGCCACATTACAACCTCTCTGTGCCTCAGGTCCCTCAAGTATTAAATAGATTTAAATTGTACTCACTTAATACAAAAAAGGACTTGGCACAGTGCTTGATACAAAGTAAACACTAAATACATGTTAGCTATTATTATTATTACTATTATTATTATTAACTTGTGGAGGAACTCACTTCTTCCCAAAGTATTACCAAGGTATCATTTAGGAAACAAAACCCACATTTAAAGACTTTAAGGGTTAGTATGGAGGATCTGAGATATTTTAAAATTTAAGACCCTTTTTAAATAAGAGCTAACATGTATTGATTACTTATTACATGCCAGGTATTGGGTTATGCCATGTGTTTGTATGTATATATATATGACATACACACACATGTGTATATATATATATATAGTCACTTAATCTTTGCTGTAACTCTACAAATCACTAAAATTACTTCAGAGAAATTAAGCAACTTGCCTAAACCTCCTGTTTAGTAAGACTTGAGCCTAGGTTTGATTCCTGGTCCATCAAATACGTATTCTTATGTGCTTAAGTTAGCAAAGCAATAATGCCTCTTACACCTTAATGGCTATCATTTTCCAGAGTTTTTCCATGAGCCACGGCCATTTAAATGATAAGTTGCTCACTGTGGCATGTGTCATGATGATTAAAATACATTATTTCAGGGGCACTTGGGTGGCTCAATCGGTTAAGCCTCCAACTCTTGGTATCAGCTCAGGTCTTGATCTCAGGGTTGTTATTTTAAGCCCTGAGTTGGGCTCCACACTGAGTGTGGAGCCTACTTTAAATAAATAAATAAATAAATAAATAAATAAGTTATTTTTGTAGTTCCAGCATTCTGGACTTAACGGATCAGTAAATTTTTCCAAAATTGGAGACTTAAAACAAAATTGTGTTATTCAATTTTATAGGGGAAATCACTGTATCACCACTGATTTTTTTCCTTTTGCTAAGAATTAATATAAACATCAATCACATTATCAGATAAATTATACACTTAGAATTTGGGATTCCTGATTCCTTGGCCAAACTTTTTATAGCATTTAAAAAAAATTCAGATACACTTCACATAACATAAAATTTATCATTTTGAAACGTACGCTTCAGTAGTTTTTAGTATATTCACTCTGTTTTGCAACCATCATCACTACCTAATTCCAGAATATTTTTATCATCCCACAAACCCCATACCTATTAGCAGTTAGTCTCAATTCCCCCGCTTCCTCATCTCCTGGCAGCCATTAATTTTTCTGTCTCTATGGATATGTCCTTAGGCAAATCTTTTATTTCTGCACAAAATGGCTGTCTCAGATCTGTGATTTCTTATTCCTTGCTGCCTAAATCAAACTGCCTGCCCAAAGCTTTACGTTGGTGTGTTGTTCCCAGTGGCATATGTAATATATATGATAGACGGCATCAAAGTACAAAATTCTAAGAGGTCCCATCAAGGTTAGCAAATGCTGCCATACGTATGGATTTTAATATGAAGAAATATACTACATACTTTCTACATTTCCACTGTCCACATTTACTTACAGTTTTAGTTTACTTCTAATTTTAATTCCAATTTTAGATTTTCCTCATATTTTCTTTCTCTTTTGGTATTTATTCATATAACATGTCAAATTATGTAACTTTGAACTTAATCTGAAGGCTGCTAATGTTTTTGGTAACCACTACAAATCAAAATAGTATTATAAGGGCCATCTTTTTTTTTTTTTTTTTAATTTACATCTAATTGAGGTTCCCAAATTCTGGTCCAAATCTGTGCTGTATTTAGTTGCTCTATTCTCTGTACATCCATACACTCTGTTCATTTCTCAGATAATTTCCTTTTAAAATAGAAATTCAAATGTATTACTATGTTCCACTGTGATTTACTTATTTACATGTCTCCCAGTGGAATCTGAACCCCTGGAAGGTAAGGACTTTGTCTATCCAAGTTTGATTTCCAGTACGGTGCCTGGTGCGTGGTATGAACTAACATAACTACTGCTGTTGAATGAAGGAATAGGTTTTAAATATATACACAAGCATATGCATAAAAATTTATAACACCCAACTGTATGTTATATTACATAATATCCATGTATATTATTACATACACATATAAGTTCATAGCTACATTAAAAATATTTAATATTTGAAAAATTCAAATGATATATTTGATCATAAAATGTTAAATATATCGAGTTTTACATAGTATGATTTTATAATAACCTGTGAACTAGTTATTACACACACAAAAACACACTCTATTTAACAGGGTATTCCCCACAGCGTAATTACAAGATGGAGGAACAACGAAGGGTGTGGAGATTGGAGATTGACTGACTTTGGCTGTTTCTTTCTGAACCTGAATTTTTCTGTGACGTGGAGATAGTTAATACCGTGCTTAGGGAATTGGTTTAAGGATAGGGCTAATCTATATTAAGGGCTCAACACTTTAGCAGGCCCTTCAGGAATCTTAGCGGGCACTTTATCCCTCAGACTTTAAGTAAAGGTGTTTAATTTTTCCACATATTATGAGTCTTTTCCAGTGAGGGAAACCTACCCGGATGCCAAATTTGTCAATTCAGAGAGTCCAGATAAAACTAAAAGCACAAAATGATCCATCTCTAACTCTGACGGATCGCTAAACCCGCAGGAGGCGCTGGGTGGACCTCCACTATCCCAGCATTCCTCGCGCTGCTTCCGTTGCTCTTCTACCGCGTCTCTATGGTAGAGCCGGCCTCCGAGGCGGCAGCGGCATTGGTGGCTTCGGTGAGGAAAAGTGAGAGTTCTAACTTTCCTTTTGGCCTGAGAGGTTTCTGGCGCGGAGCGTCGTCATGTCAGAGAAAAAGCAGCCGGTAGATTTGGGTCTCTTGGAGGAGGACGACGAGTTCGAGGAGTTCCCTGCCGAAGGTAACCGGCTGGGCCCCGGCCTCTGGGCCGCGCGGACGGTGACTCAGGCCTCCGGCTGGAGTCGGCGCGGATGCTTGGGCTCGGCCTCGAGGCGCCCGCGGGAAGTCCGGACCCCTGCGGCCGGCTCTCGAGGCTCTGCACGCGCGACCCTCCGTGCGACCGGCTTCGGGTTCGGAGTGTTTCGGTGGGCCTCACTAGTGAGGCTGAATGCCTTCTGCTTCCTTATTGGGAGGAGCCACGGTGACCTGGGCCTCTAGCTCTGAGTCCGGGATGGTTGGTCCTTTTTTTTTTTTTTTTTTTTTTTAACTCTTCAGCCGAGTTACCCGCCATTTCGTTCGTGGCTGTATAAACCTCTTTTTTCTTTATTTTCTTGTAGTGTAGCAGCCTTCCTTTGTCCTTAAACCATCCAGAATTAAATTGCTGTACCTGCTTAGGCCAATACTGCTTACCTTTAGGACTTTACAAATGAAGCCTCTTAAGTGGGATGGGAGGATCAGGTGTTGGTGGGTAAAAAGACGTTATTACCCTATGCTTGTTTCTCATTTTTGATCACTTCAAACTAACAAAGTTTAAGGATTTACAAGATGATAAACGTCTACATTTTTATTAGTTTTCATGGTTACCAAGAGGAACTTTAGTTTTCTCATTGTAAGTGAAAGCAAATAGCTAACATTTACTGGGTAATTACTTGTCTAAGTGTTTTGCTTATATTCATTTTCACAGTTCTAGCGACTAGGTACCGGTATTACCGTTTCTCAGATAAAGAAATTGAAGTTTGGCACTATTAAGAAACTTGTCCAATGTCACATAGCTGGCTAGAAATGATGGATACCTTCTAGGAATGATGTACTGCTTCTGTTTATTTTTTAAATTGTTGTTGCCAGGTAGGTTTCTAGAATTATTTGCTTTATTGTCTGTTATGTGTAGGATAAATATTTGTCTTGTAAGAAAAGGCTACTATTGGGTAGCCTTTCTGAAGGTGGTAGGAAGAGAATTGTGGTTAATGGTGTACAAATCTGTTACGTTAAGCAATTACAACTTCACTAAAATTGTCCTAAGTTGTACCCCATCGTGACCCTATTGTGCATAAAAACCACATAGCTTGAACATTTGTTCTTTTTATTTATGGTGTACTCTATTATTTTGTTTAGCGGTAGAAGACATTAGTGTTCATATGACACAAACTCATAAACTAACCCAAAGCACATTTCAGTTATGGGATTCATTATATATTGAGGGGATTGTTTTTGTTTTTGTTTTGGTAGTGGATTTATTTGTCCAGACATGTTTTCTCTTTTTTTTAGTAAGATTTTATTTATTTATTTGAGACTAGCGGGGCAGGGGAGAGACAGAGGGAGAGGGAGAAGCAGGCTCCCTGCTAAACAGGGGGGTGGGGGGGCTGGATCCCAGCACCTGGGGATCATGACCTGAGCTGAAGGCAGACCCTTAACTGACTGAGCCACCCAGGCTTCTTTCCTTTACCTCACTGTCAAGTTGGTTCATAATCTAACATTGAGCTATACAGTAGAGAACTGACTTATTGAGGGCAGGGTCAACTTTTTACTCAAACTTCATATTTCAAATAGCTTTTATCCATTGTTTATCACAGTGGTAGGCACTTTGTTTACATTATATAGTCTATCACTACAACTGGTGAGGAAGCCGATGCTTAGATTTAAAAAGCTTGTCATTAAGTAGTCAAGCCAGGATCTGAAAGGTCTATGTGACTCCCCAACATAAGCTTTATTTTTAACCTTTAGCAAAGTGCCTGGCACATAGTAGGTGGTTAATATATGTTTGTTGAATGAATAAACCTGCATTTAAAGCAAGTAGTTGAGAATTGACTGCTTAGAAAGTTCTAGAGATAACTGTGTATCTAATGATACACATGATTTTTCTCAGCAACTTTGAGTTCATCAGTTTTTGCAGAATATGTAGTTTGTTTTTATTCTAAGTTTATGTTGTAAGTTTATATTTGTTCAAAGTGTTGGTAGTCATATAGTAAAAAATCTCATTAAAGTTACAAGGAAAAGCAGAGAATATTTTTTAGGGGGGCAGGGGCTGAGGGAGAGAGAATCTTAAGCAGGCTCCATGGTCAGCATGGAGCCTGATGCAGGGCTTATCTCACAACCCTGAGATCATGACCTGAACCGAAATCAAGAGTCGGTCAATTAACCAATTGAGCCATCCAGGTGCCCTGAGAATTTTTTTTTTTTTTTAAAGACCAAGGCCTCTCATGATCAGCCAGTTTGTTAAAATTAAGTAACTCACCACTTAACTGGTCACCTTATAAAATATTTGTTGTCTTCAGGTTTGGATGTGTAGAACCTAATTCATTTAGGAATTTTTCCTTTAGAATGAGAAATAACATTGAAATGTTCAGGTTTCTATGTTTCTTCTGTGGTTTATAATTTAGACAGGTTTTCCTTTTGTGTTAATTTGAATTGAGATTTTGCTGGGTACAAAATTAGCCCAATAGGTGAAACCAATCAATATTTACTAATAAAAACTCTTAATAAAAAAACAAAACTAAAAGAGAAAAAACCTGGAAAAATATCACCAAGGAATTACTGAATTATTTATCTTTTGAGACTATACACTTTTAGTTTGTGTATTTGTTTTTTATGGCCTAGTCATGGTTTAGTCTCCATTGCTGTTCAGTTGTGATCCATGGACCAGCAGTTTTGGCATTAACTGGCAGCTTATTAGAAATGCAGTGTCTCAGCCTAGACCTACTGAATTAGTCTGGACGTTACCAAGATTCTTTAAAGATTTGTATGCACATTACAGTTGGAGAATAAATGGCCTCTTTTGAATTTTTTAGTATTTGAATTTTCAGTTCAGTGATTATGCCCTGAATTACTTTCCAAGTTCTCTGCCTTCTTTGGAAATTCTCTTTCTTGTGTTTGTCCTTTTGGTAAATGTGCCATTGACAAGCACAGTAACAGATAAAACTTAAAATGGCCTATAATCATCTTTTCTGTCTAGAGGAGATCTGATTTTCACGGGCCTTGTTGCCTCTCTGCTCCAGAAAGTGGATGTAATGGATTGTCCATCTTTTTTGGGAGTGTTGTTGCTTCATCTTATCCCAGATAAGAACTTGTTTGGTAGGATGTCATTCAGTCATTTTAAAGAAGGGGAATTTCTGTTTTAAAAAGGAAACTATGGTAATGTGTTTTCGTGGAGCCTCTTTGTTTCTTCTGAATAGTTCTTCAGTGGTGGTGGGGCACAATTCTCTGAAGGTCCAGAGGAACAAATGCTTCTTTTTTTAAAAACTTGTCATTATTTAGTCTGTGGATCTGTGTTACATTGGCAGTTCTTCACAGTTACTCTAACTGATGGGTATATGATCTGGTCATTAAGAACTGTTTAAAAATCGGGCGCCTGGGTGGCTCAGTTGGTTAAGCAACTGCCTTCGGCTCAGGTCATGATCCTGGAGTCCCGGGATCGAGTCCCACGTCGGGCTCCCTGCTCAGCGGGGGTCTGCTTCCCCCTCTGCCCTCTTCCCTCTCGTGCTCTCTGTCTCTCATTCTCTCTCTCTCTCTCAAATAAATAAATAAAATCTTTAAAAAAAAAAAAAAAGAACTGTTTAAAAATCATGTTTAGGGGACACCTGGGTGGCTCAGATGGTTAAGCCTCTGCCTTCGGCTCAGGTCATGATCCCAGGGTCCTGGGATCGAGCCCCACATCGGGCTCCCTGCCCCGCAGGAAGCCTGCTTCTCCCTCTCCCACCCCCCCTGCTTGTGTTACCTCTCTCGCTGTGTCTCTCTCTGTCAAATAAATAAATAAATAAAATCTTTTTTAAAAAATCATGTTTAGGATCTTTGTGAAATGCATTCTGCAACTTTTTGACTATTTAAACTGAGAATAGGCTTTGTTAGGAGGACATTCAACATACTGGGTGTAATTGATTATAATTAATTTTGGAGGCTTTGTCATGGTTAGAACTGGAAAGCAACTTAAAATCTAGAGAAGATAAAACTTGTCAAGCTCATATAGCTAGGTTGGTAGTAGTAGAGCAGGGTCTAAAACCGAAATCCTTTATAATTTGTTTAAAATGTCAAAAAAATTTTCATCAGATATTGAAAGGATATTTAAAATATTTTCATTAATCACCTTTCTCTGACAATTAGAAGTGGGTGAGAAAAGTGGGAAGAACAAGTGGGCCTTTAGGTTCTTTTATTCTCTTCTTTCTGTGCCAGAACTGAGAAGGGTTTTTGTTTTGGTTTTTTTTGTTTTTTGGGGTTTTTTTTTCGGGGGGGGGGAACTTTTTAGAATATTTAAAAGGAAACTCAGTTTGCTTCCAGAAGTAATGATATTTATAAGGAATTCTAATACTAAGTATTCTGTAATTTTTCTATGATCAGTGGAAATGCTTCATTATCTGATGAATTCAAGAGGGGTATACTACCTACCTTCCCACCCTCCTTGAGAAATTGCTGGGTAAGAGACTGTTATTGATGGAAATCTGTCTGTTGAGGCAGACAGTAAACAAGCTAGTGGTCCCCTCTGGAATAACTGAGGTACTCTCACCTAACAAAGTAGGGCATCTTACAGTGGTTCTTATCCAGAGAAGTATTTTTGGATGTCACATTTACCTGACAGGTGCAAATGTGAAGTAATGACATTTAGGGGTAGAGGCCAAGGATTTTAAATGCTTGTTGTGCATAGACCAGTACGGTACAAGAAGAATTGTCCTATGAAAAATGCCATGGAGAAATATTTACATTGATTGGATTCCAACTGGACTAAACCATCAATAGGATTCCTGAGAATCTTAAATATAAAAGCAGATACAACTGATATTCACTGTGTCAGATAATGTACTAGTCAGTTAACTAATGCCCAGAGGGGCTCTGCTATTTTCAATTATTAAATGTAATATAGTGGACACATAAATAACACTATCACACATTTAAATTAGTTACATGGTGGTGGCAAGAAATGGAGAAATTGTGTTACTAAAAATAAAATAAATAAATAAATATGTATGGCAGAGT